GTACCTAAGGGGGGCTTATAAGAAAGATGAGGAGGAACATTTTTGCAAGGCCTGTTGTGACAGGACAAGTGTAATGGTTTTAAACTAAAGGAATGTAGATTCAGACTAGATATAAGGAAGAAATTTTTCACGATGAGGGTGTTGAAACACTGGCACAGGTTGCCCAGAGAGGTGGTAGATGCCCCATCCTTGGAAACATTCAAGGTCAGGCTGGACGGGGCTCTGAACAACCTGATCTGGTTGAAGATGGCCCTGGTCACTGCAGGGGGGTTGGACTAGATGACCCTTAAAGGTCCCTTCCAACCCAAACCATTGTATGATTCTGTGATTCTATATTAGCAGTTACTAAATATTTACGATTATCCTGATTTTTATATATTGGGTTGGTTATGAAATTGGGCAAGGGGAGCTTGTTCCAAGTAGAAACATCTCCTTTAAAGTCTTTCTTTAAGTGTTTCTTATGGGGAAAAAGTGGATTTATGAAGTACGGAAAAATGTTTGATGCTAAAGAATAACTTTTCAACAAAAGGAATCTTGTGTGTTTTTTATGTCAAGTATGTGAATTTTTTAACTTGCTATAGAAATCTGGATTTTTGTGTTTCTGTAGCTCATTTTTGGTGATCATTATATTGAGAGAGTCAATATATTTAGGCTCTGTGGCTGAATTGTTATAATTTGTAAATATCAAACTAAAATATTAATTATCTGACATTTAAATATTCAGACATATTTAACATGCCTGTGTGTAAAACTGCAATTATTGTGGAATATATTTTATATAATTTGCATATATCAGCTTAAAATTTTCTGTTACATATTAAAGCTTTTATGCCTTTTAGTCATGTTTCAGAACTGTTCCTTTAGTTGTGTAAAACAATTTGGTAAATACATAGAATCATTTGCTACCTACCTATATTAATACAGTTTTAATCTTTAAAAAAGGGATTCTAGTGTCTGCTTTATATTGAATGCCAAAATATGTGACTTAAGATAGTTTATCAGTGCTCTAATATTCTTATTTTAATAAGCTGCTTTGTTGCTTCTGTAAAAAAAATTTCACTATCGCTTTTTAACTAAAGGCCTAGTCAGCCCTTGACTTCTCCTGTATTAACAGTAAGTACACTTGAGAGTCCAGTGCATGTTGTGCTTGACAAGGTTATACATTGAATCTGATACAGTTTTTCATTGCGCGCATTCTGGGATTTTCTGAGCAAGAAAGAGCAGTTTTTTCTTAGTAATTTTTTCAGAGTATAACTACAGTTTTAAAAATGTCAAGGGTTTTTTTTGTTGGTTGGTTTGTTTAAGTCCAAATATATTTCTCTTTCTGCAGGACAAAGTAGTGACAGTGAAGACCTTCCTGTCCTGGACAGTTCAAGTAAATGTACTCCTGTTAAACACATAAATGCATCCAAAGCACAGAAGATTTCTCGGTCACCTGCAAGAGTGGTTTCACCTCACATCAAAGATGGAGAGAAGGATAAACACAGAGAGAAACACCACCACCAGAATGCTTCGCCTAGAGTGTACAAATGGAGTTTTCAGCTCAGTAAGAATTCTTTAAGTGACTTGACTAGAGGGAATTTATGAGAAAATTTGTTCTGAAAGAAAAACTTGCAAATTTGGGGATTCTAAATTAGGTATAGGCATTTTATGGCATAGTTATGGAAGTGTGTTATCTTTCATGCTGCATCTTGTATACTCTTAAGGACTGCATTCATTTGTTTAAAATCATCTTGATGAAGCAATTTTTTTGTTTTCTTCCCACTTTTAAGATGAACTAGACAATATGAGCAGCACTGAAAGGATCTCCTTCTTACAAGAAAAACTACAGGAAATACGAAAGTACTACATGTCCTTGAAGTCAGAAGTAGCAACCATAGACAGGAGAAGAAAACGATTAAAAAAGAAAGACAGAGAAGGTAACTTTCAGGTTTGCTTTATGCTTCCCATGAGAAGTTAATTTTCTTGAAAATAGATGACTCAAAGTAACTTGAGTTTAACTGACAGTATTTTTGAGAGGAAAAAAGTGTTACCATCTGTTCATATGTGTACATATTTAGAAGGAATATTTGTGGCTTTTCAGAACTTGAACCTAACAAAAACATTCACTGACTATTTCATAACTATGTATTAGCAACTTGGGCTTCCTAGTGCAGGCTCGGTCTGAGTTTTCAATCAGCGTAATGACTCATCTGATTTATCTTTTCAATTTGTCTGTGATGCAGAAAGGATAAGGTTACTCATCCAGTTTATGTACATATAGCAGTGAAAGCAGTTAACCAAAAATCTGTATCAGTTTTCTGTGACCGTGCCACTTCTTTGAGGTCTTTTAAACTACCTTAAATAACCACGGAAACATTCATTCTGACCTGTACTTTGATAATCTGATGCTGATCTGTTGTTCTGTATATGCAGTGTCACATACAGGAGCATCCATGTCATCTGCTTCATCAGACACTGGAATGAGTCCGTCATCGTCTTCTCCTCCACAAAACGTGCTTGCTGTAGAATGCAGGTGATACACATTTCTCTGCCTTGCCAGCAACTTGCTGCCATGGACATAAATCCTGAAATTCAACCACAGAAAGCACTCAACTGGTTTGACATTGCCAAGTATATTCTGTACACACTTCCACTGCTGGACTGTACCTGTTCTCCCCTCCTACCCTCTTCTTTTGTTTAATTTACTGTTCAGAGAAATTAAGCTCATTGGTTACTGAAGGTTCGTAGGCACAATGTGACATGCTTGTCATTGTGTTTGTTTTTTTGTTTTTTGTTTTTTTTTAATTAATGCAGAGAAAGGGCACTTATCAAATTTGAAAAGTTAATGTCCAATGAAGCATTCAGGTGTTCTAGGGAGATCTTAGAAAAGCAAGTGCACCAAGCAGACATCAGAGTATTATCAAAAAGAATTGAGTAACTGCTGCACTTTTACCGAGCTGTGTACGTTAACTCTTGGTGAGTAGTTCCTCTTTGTGGAAGCACTTGCTATACAGAACTGCCAAAGTATGTGTTCAGCAATGTGCCCAGTTTTAAAGGTGTAAATGGGACAAAATAAATTGTGAAAGGAAGTGTAGTTGACTGAAAACTACAGTTGTAATAAGTCTTCCACTTTTTATAGGATTTTTGAGCACACAATTATGCAAATATTTTAATGTTTATTAATGTTTACAGTGGAATTGTGAATAGGTTTTCAGTGGACTATCTTATCCCTTGACAAAAATATTTTGTCTTTTTTCTATGTAATTTCAGAGTTTTTATTTTGTTACAAAAAGACGAAAAATGAAATATATAACAGCAATGAAGTTATTTAACAAGATTTCTAAAGCTGAAATTTTTGTGTAAAATAAGGTATCTTGCAACTTGTTAAATATATTTATTCAGACATTGGATGTTGTATTTTTATGTATTTTTTAAAATATTAATAAAATTGGAAAAAAAAATTCTAGGTTAGTTCACTCTTTCGATAAAACATACTTATCAGTTATGGCTCTTAAGGAGGTTTTATCCAGTAGCCATGCCTGTATTTCAAATGGGTCTGTCTACGTATCCTCCACAACATAGATCTGTAAGCGGGCATCTGGATTAAACTATGACTTTATTTGGAAACTTTGGCAGTCCTAGTACTTACATTGTTTTGAGGAACAAAATTTATTGGGTTGCCCTTAAGATACTTTCTCACAAGTTCTTATGTTTGCTATACTGCCGAATGAATATATATCTCCCAAAGTTGAGATGCAACAATAAAGTAAAGCAACTGTGTATGCTTTGTCTGTGGATTGTCCCACAGACAGATACAGTTTGTAAATAACTCTTCCAAAACCATGTATTTAAAGCAGTTTGCATATACATTATGTATAAAAAGTGATTTTTTTATCAATTTTTTTATTCATGTTTGTACATTGAAAGGGGTTCTTGACTCCTTTTTCTGTGTTTAATATGCTGTAGAGTAATAACATAGATGCTCTAGACTGTATATCAGGATATTCTGGTTCACGGCAGAAAGTCAGAACGAAACACTAGTGATGGCGTAGCATTACTAAAATTGATGTTTCTTGACATTTCATTTTATGACATTTGTCAACTTGTGATTCCAATTCCTTCCATTTTCGCAGAAAATTAAAGAAAAAGTACTCTTGTAAATGCACTTTTTCTGTCTTTTCTTAAGCAAAGCAGAACTATTTCAATGTAAGATAAATATGGAGCTCACTAGACAGCATTAATAAAGGCCATGTTTTAAACATAGGCTTTATATTCTATTTTTATTTAAGTGATTGTTCTTGTAAATGTCTGGACTTACCTAAATAGGAAAATTAATCTCCATAAATTGTTGTAAAGACTTTTTTCAGAGCTAACTTTTACTGTTAATCTTATAATAGCTATGAATAAAAAGCAATACTCATTTAAAAGGAAATAACATGGGTCACATTTTCTCAGATTATGTTCCATGTTTAATATTTGCAGAAGAAAATTTTAAATTCAGTGAAATAATAGGATTAATTCTATCTTACGGAAATATCTAACCTCTGTCTTCAAACTGTGTGAGATCTTAAACAGGCATATACACACACTCAGCATGCACAGATGATGGATGAGCTCTTAACTGTCTGTGCATCGGCACAGATGTTCACAGCGTGCACACTGACTGCTTCTCCTTATCTCTTAAGAATATTTAAAATACTGCATGGAAAACTGCAGCTATGGTTCCATGAAACATGGAAGCCCGTTCTAACAGATGGTTGCTCCTTGACACAGAGAACTTGCCTCCTTACTTCCTCTTTCCACCTGCTTACCTTGCACTAGTACTCATCAGACACAGACACCCCCCCCGTAAACACTAACATTACTCTTCTGGCAGAACACTAAACCTGGAAGAAAAGGTGGACTTTCTGCCAAGCCACTGGCAAAGCCTCTAGCATGTTTACTGATTTCCTACTTTTATCTTTCTGGCAAGAAGTGTATCCATTAGCCAGATTAGTCAGTAGATGTTTAAAGTAGGTTCTTATGACATTTAAAAATATCAGAAGGAAAAGAAGATTATGGGACTATCCTGTACCTAAAGGTGCAATCAACAGGAAACCCTAATAAGGTCTTTTATTTCTAACTTTACTATAATCCCTTTATTTCTCTGTTGTTGACATAAATTCCAAAGTGTCTTCCAATGCCTTGAATGAAAGTTTATGCTGTTGAGGACACAGTAGTTATGATTATACTGAATTGGGATTTTTATTTTTTTTTTTTCAGTAAGAGATTAGGTATCATGGTTGCAAGAGGAAGCAAAAATAAAGCTCCCTCTTGGCAGTCTTCATGCTGTTGTTCTGCCTTCTAGTCTTTTTACAGTTTTTATCAAAATTATACATGTTATTCCAAGCTTAGTTAGGAAGTTAAAAAAAAAAAAAAAGATTATGGGATCAAACACTGCTAGAACTGTTAAAAAGAACAAGGCTGTAAGAGAATTCAGACTGTCCCCTCACCTTCTGCAACTGATACAGAGAACTGTCAGATTTCTCGCAGGTTTATTATTTTTGTATTAGCTGATAATCTGAAAGTTGGAAAAAACTTGAAACATTTGCATGCGAGGACATAATGTAAGGCAAGGTTCATTTCACTACTTGTTTCAGTTTTCACTTTCTTTCCATAAAGTATACCAGCTACATGTAGTACATGTATACTAATGAATTTTTATTTTCTCTCTAATGTGTAAGTTTAGCAACACCTAGTTAAATCTCCACTTGTTTCTGGCTCCTCCATCAGATCGCTTGTGTTTGAGAAACCATCTGCTTAATCAGTTTGAACAGATCAGGCAGGAGAAGCAAAAATGTCTGGACAACAATAACAAGCCATTATTTCAACAGAGGTTAAACAGATTTAGAGTAGTAATTATCAGTGAAAGAAAAGCATAATGAGGGCAAATAAATATCTTCATGAAGCATAATGTGTCTGACCTTCACAGAGAGCAGCAAAGACCTTTAATTTGAAGGACAGCAGTAGAAGAGAAAAGGTGATTAAATCACTTTGCTGTTTCTGGTATTTTGCCCAAGTTCCACTTGAATCTAATTTTTTTTAAAAGTGCAGTATTGGAATAATCTGGGCAGAAATTTTTTAAATGGCTACATATTCTCATTTTATGT